TAGCGAACGACTCAGAATTTTGAAAATATCTTTCCATACCCGACGGCCTAACTCTGACGAACATTTCTATAATCTTGGGTGAAATTATTGTTGAAAAAACCTGAATTTCATTTTTATATCATTCAGGCTAACGTGTAACCGACATGATTTCAATTGAAAAATAAGTTTCCAAGATGATGAAAGAATGTGATTATCAAACGATAACACGAACTAGAATGTGATTTGTGGTATTTATAAAAGTCCGTCCACCACCTATTGTAATTTCATTGCCTTAAAGCTTCAATATTGACATTTAAATCATATAAATGAAGTCGGTATGTTTGTAACAGTGGATGAATGAATGGTTAGTATGGATAGAAGGATGGATGGATGGATGGATGAAAAGATAAACTAATAATAAATGATTGTAGAAAATGATAAATGAATAAAAATATTAAAAAATTAATAAAGAGGTAGATATAGATACATGACAAAAAATGTGAGATCATATGATTGAACAACAAAAAAAACAAAGACATGAATAAATGACTGAATGAACAAACGAACGAACGAACGAACGAACGAACGAACGAACGAACGAATGAAAATATAGAAAACAAACTGAAAGAATAAAAGATCTTTACAACATTGCAATCGGAAAGTGGGCGTTAGGTACTGGCGTCGTATGTTATTATGGAAACATAGGAGTAGCATGAGACATCACACCATACATCATTTCACTCCCTGTTCCATTTACGTTATCATTATTACTGCCGTCCATTTCTTATTATATCGTCACTTTCCGTAGTAAGATTAGTGCAATTTTGTGGCCCTACAAACGACAAAACCATTTGGTTTAATGTCAATTATATTTATTGAAACAATGATAAACTTTTAAAATTTTCATTAAATGTAAAAAATTATTGAAAATAAAACATACAGGATAAAACGTACGAGAGGCTGTGTACTCAATTGTTTGTCGCACGAACTCTGAGGTGTTAATTATGTTTAATTGCAGAGACGGGCAAATCAATAAATTCTTTGGTAGTACCTCTATAGCCAACCTATCCCCAACCAACCTACTTACAATCAACCTACGAACGCCCGGCCAAACAACTTATCAATATTTTCTGTTTTTACCTCAGTTTAGGCAAAAATTTTAAATTTGACTAGAACAGTCTTTGTCAGCAGTCTTTGTAAATTAAGTTTTGTAGGGAGATTCCGTGAAATATTTAACAAAAATTAGCGAAAAAGTTTATTTTAAAACATGAATAGCAATAATATCAAGAATAATTTTAATCACAATAAATAAATAAATAAAAATGATAATAAAAACGTTCGTAGATCAAAGAAAATCAACTGAATGGAAAGCGAAATTCAAATTTAAAAGAGAAAATGTCGGTATAGTATTGAATTATTACAAATTATTATCATAAATAAACTGCATTAAATATTTTCAACCATCTCTCTCTTAAAATTTTTAATGGTTATAGCAACATATATTTTTATAGAAAAAAATTATTTTTGTGAACAAATATTGCAAAACGTAAGCGTTTGTGTTTGTGTGTGTGAGAGAGAAAGTGTGTATATTAGAGAGAGAGAGAGAGAGAGAGAGAGAGAGAGAGAGAGAGAGAGAGAGAGAGAGAGAGAGAGAGAGAGAGAGAGAGAGAGAGAGAGTGTGTGTGTGTGTGTATGTATGTGTATGTGTGTGTTTGTGATTTGTATAACACTAAAATATTTTTTTAAATACTAACAAACAGCCTCAAACACAGTAACGTAGTTTTCGTATTAAAATCAGTGTCATTGGATGACTAAATCAATAAATGAACAAACAAATATTACATATTACACACACACTCGTACACACACATACCCACACGTACACACACACACACGCATACATACACACGCACACACACACACACACACACACACACACACACACGCATACATACATACACACACACCATTGTTATAATTTGATCGTCTACGTTGTAAAATTAAAACTACATAACAGTATTCGTACTTAGGTTCAATTCTTATAGTCCAGTAATACTTATAATTAGGAATACAGCCTCATTAACCACTTATATCTTATATATATTTTATATAATATGTATATGTATATATTGTATAGTAAACTATAAAATAATCAGTTGTAATTGTGAAATTGACTTGTGAAAGTTTAGCCGCAATAAAATAACAAAAAAAAACATTATCTTTGTTTAATTATCGTTTAATTAACTAATTAACTTTCAACTATATGGCGCTTAGTTAGTGAAAGGTTACCTGGAAAAAACTGTCAGATGAAAAAATTTGTAGATTTGTAAATCATTAAAGTTGAGTAGGAAGACTGGTGTGACAACTTTTTGCTGGACCGTAAGAGATGAATGGTTATATCATTGAACAATTAGTATAGACACAGACACATAAATACACACACGCACGCACACACACACACATATATATATATATATATATACACATAGTTTAGTATACATATATTACCGCGTGTATATGATAAACACATATTTATATAATTATAAAAGTATATAATTAATGTGTTATATTCATTTGAAAATTTAAACGAAATTTGTGAAAGTGTTTGTTAATATTAATAGTGTAAATAAAAATATATCGAAATTCAATCAATTACTCTATTTAAAAAAAATGGACAAATGAATGAATGAATAAATGAATGAACAAAATGATTTGTTATCCTCAACAAAATGAATTAGTATCCACCACAAAATAAATTAGTATTCTCCATAAAATGAATTAGTATCAACGACGGAAATGTGCATGCCAATAATAAAATTCTAATGATAGTTTGATATCTTTGAAGATAGATGGATATTTCGACTGTAAAGACCAAATGGTAACGACAGATCAGTCGTAGAGTTTATAACAAATTTGTGAAATTAATTACAGCTTTGAATGTTTTAAACATTACTATTTATTTTTACTAAAATATAAATATTAAAATTATTATTATTAGCCAAATTACCAATTTTATTGAAATAAAATATATAAATTTTGATAAAATCTCACCTTAAGCCAAGTAAAATAAGAAAAACCAAATTAACAAAAAAAACAACACAAGATGGCTAAAAACAACAACAACAAAACGAACAAATTTTTCTTAAAAAAAAAAACAACGAACTAGTCATCAGTAGCAATGTTTTTATTTGAAATGAAAAAAAAAGTAATTAAACTAACGAATGAAGTCTCATTAGAAAATTTAAAAATACACACACACACACACACACACACACACACACACACACACACACACACACACACACACACACACAAGCACACACACACACACACACACACACACACACATATATATATATATATATATATATATATATATATATATATGCTGGTAAAAGACCATAATTACTTAATTTCATAAATTACTTTATATATATATATATATACCTAGTATGCCAAATTTATCACCGATAGGTAGATGAAGTTTTACGTACGCTTGATATATATTCAGCTATTACAAATCATCAGCATAGTTTGAACGTACATTTTGACTAGGAAACCAATTGTTAATATTCGCTACTACTATAGGTTGAGTTTGAATGTTGTAATAACTTATTTCATAATTTTTGTTATTTAGTTTCGTTTCGTTTCGTTTACGAGAAACAAATTTTTGTTATTTGGGATTAATTAATTTTATAAAATGATTTTAGGAATAATTAAAACGTTAGAAAGTTGAGTGATAGAAAAATAGATGAAGATTGTAGAAAAATTTGAAGCGACACTTTATAATTTGAAGACCTTTGTAGCAACTCTAAAATGAAATCCACTGATCTTTAAATGTACTCTAAATAAAATCATTTCCATCCATGACCTATTATACTTAGGTTAAACTTTTTTATTCTCATTTTACCCTAATACGGAATATGGAATCTAACACGTATCCCAAAATTTGGATTCTATTCTGGTGATGTTTGTTTGCGTTACTGGCTTGTGTTAAAAAATTCATTCTCTAAAGGAGCCAGCTGACAACATGAGAGATAATTGTGTGTGTGTGTGTTTGTTTGTATGCGTGTGAGTGTGTGTTTTTATATATGTAACCGTGAATCTTATTGAATGTAGCATGCTATGTATTGGCTTTGTATACCAAATTATTTATACTCTGGAACTTGTTTTAAAGAAAAAATTAATTAATTCAGTTGTAGGATGGCTCAATTTTGATTATATTTCAAGTTTGCACCAAATGCTTTTATTTGTCATTATAAAATTACTTGCTTGTTTCTTGTTGTCGGTAGTTCAGCTACATACAAATCAATAAATAATTCAGACAAAGACAATCTGGTAAATATTTCCGATTGTGATGAGAAAGTAAATGAACGACTCCATATTACTTTTTATCTAAACCAATTTTGAGATTCAACATCTAATTGAACTTTTTTTATCAAAAAAATCTTTAAATTGCCTAGCAAACAAAATTTAATTTTCACACTAATTTGAATACGTGTGTTTGTATTTATCATAACCTAATTAATATATGTATTTATATGTGCGTGTATGTGGTTTTTAATTGATTCTTTTATGTTTTTGAAATGTTTTGATATATATGAGTTATATTGTGAAACGCTAAAATTACAGCTTATACCCCTACCAGAAACCAGGTCACCATCTTATGTTTAGGATCAGTTCACCAATGAAAATTGGCAGTAGGAAGAAGAGAAAGCTGGTTGGAAGTGGCGTACTGCTGGTCCTCCTCGTCCAGTGCATGGCGCTCCCTGCCGCACTGCACGCCGAAGCAGCTTCCTTTAATTTCCGTTCATTCTTATCAAATTGTTCTGCGGAATTTAGAAGATTTTTCATTTTTAAATTTTAAAATTCCCTAATCATATTATTAAATTAGAATTTATAGCTCTTAACATGCATTTCAAAATTGAGAATAAAAAACCACGATGACAATTATTCATTGGAATTCACAAAAAGTTTACAAGCATTATTATCAGTAGGTACATTGTAGTATGTAAAAAAATTTAATTTGTGGTAAAAAAAATTAATGTGAAAATCAAAATGGAGAGGCGACATTTAGTGAATGGGTGAACCAACGAACCGATGACGGCATTCAACTGTGGAATGTATTCATCCCAGAAGGCACACTCCTTAATGCGTGGTCCCCTCCCGACGGCTTTTGTGCTGTCAGGATCGTCCAGGAACTTGGAATTGAGTTCGAGGTACTCCTTCATATTCGGCGTGTACAGGGGCCAGTCCTGCGTGGTCCTCACTCCTGGAATTTGGTTCGGATCTCTAGAGAAGTATAATAAAATAAAACGAATTGCCAAATATTTTGCAATTTATAATTGCAAATTTATACATTTTAAACTAGCAAAGTTAAATCGTTGATACTTGACGTAAGTTGGTGTATGATCTCAAATTTGCCCTGCCAGTTGGCTATGTAACTATCTAATAGTTTTAACCAATATTTTTATTATCTTTTATCCTTTTCTTTAATATTTGGTGTTGTTTTTCATTTAGTTTTTGATTTATTTCATCCAGTTTGTTATTTAAATACGCAAAACAAACACTTTGCCGGCACAAGTGGCACGAAACCACCGCAAAAAGTTTTAAACACCTCACGCTCCGCTGAATTGATGGAATGAAGGAGTGAAAATGAATTCATCTCATGAAATTTGAACCTGCCTCTCCAACCAACACTCCTCCTTCCAATATGCTAATTGTATTGTTTTCCTGGGAGCTCTCTATATCGCGTTTTATTTCTTTTCTTTTGCAGACATTGCACATACATATTAGCACGTACATATTAACACGTAAATATTAGCACGTACATATTAGCACATTCATATTTGCACATACATGTTAACTCGTACGTACATATTAGCCCAAACATAAGTATGTTCATGTTTTTTCCAAGCATACAAATAATTATTTTGTCAAATTTATATTTGATGTTTCGTTCATATTCGATGGTCTCATATTTTTAGAAATGTTTCTAATGTTTGATGATCAACAAATAATTTCTATATTCCACCATGCTGCTCCACCGAATGAAATATAAAAATCGTTTTCCAAAAAATTACTCCAATTGAATTAAATAAAACTTCATTGTATAAGGACGTTTAAAAAACTGAAAAAAAATTTTTATTTTAAACAATTCCAGTAAAATTACCAGTTTTTTTTATTTAAAACGAATCAATCTAACATATGAAGCAGAAGTTGGATATAAAATTTTTCCATGCAAGTTCTGTGCAAAAAATATCAATCATTTGCCTTGAATCAAAAATCTCAAATTATTATTAAAAAAACCATAGACAATATTTATATTACATCATAATTCAGTACATTACCCACCCAGTATTAGCACTAACCTTACCGTGTCGTCAACATCATGACACTAACATCATCATGACATCAACTTGTCATTTTTGCGACATCAAAGTCATCACACCCCATAACATTTGACTGTTTGTTAGTTACCAGGCAATATTGTTTTGAAGCTTTATTAGGTTTGGACAATGTTTTCGTTCGAAAATAACGTAATCAGATCAGACTGAGCAAAGCAAATGTTTCGCAGAGAACTCGCGTAGAAACATTCTACATTCGTAGGTACGCATCGAACGAACTCTCTCCTTCATATATTTCATGCTTTTTGGAAATGCTTGTGGGTGTCATCAATCTGAGCAAAGATTTTATTATAAAAAATAATCTGTAGTTTCTGTATCAAGTGATTTATAGTTCATTTTTGAAATGCAAAGTGATTAACAAATGTATTTTATGTCGTGTAAAAATGATTACCATGTATGAAACAAACTTCCATCACGAGCATACATACATGCATACTTACGTACGGGCGTGTATGTATGCATGGAATGAAATGACGTTTATTGAATTTACGTAACGATGCATTGATGCCAACACTGACGCATTCGTATTTGCAGGTACGAACGGCTAATAAAACAGTTCGTTTGTTTGTTCGTTCATTCTTTTGTGTGTTCGTTTGTTCGTTCGTCTGTTTGTTCGTTTGTTCGTTCGTCTGTTTGTTCGCTTGTGGGTTCGCTTGTTTTTTCGTTAAACGTATGTGTTTTACTGTGAGTATGTTTTTGTTTATTTGCTTTCAAGCTTTCGTCAACACAAAATCATCTATTTTTTTAAAACGTTCATGATCAAATTGTTTTAAAACTGTTGATCTGCTTGATAGATTATTTAAAACTTTTTTAACTTCTGTTTTAGCTTTATTATGTTTATTCTTTGCTGCTACTAATAAATATACATTATATGAATGTATTTATGCTGGTGTGTGTATTTGACGTAATTAAGTGTAAAAAAAACATTCCACGCATGCTATTGTCAGGAATTATTACGTATACAGCCATAAATATGCATATGTGTACGTGTCTTAATACATGTAGACACACATACAAACATAAATAAAGACATACGAACATACAGTTAGACAGACATCCGTACAGACGCATGTAGTACAGAAATATGCAGCGTACATTTCGACGTGTTTATTGCATCTCAGAAGATCATATACATTTCACGCATCATGGAAACTCCTTGCAATCTTCTACATTTTCCACTCTCCCTCTCTCTCTCTCTCTCTCTCTCTCTCTCTCTCTCTCTCTCTCTCTCTCTCTCTCTCTCTCTCTCTCTCTCTTGCTCACTCGTTCGCTCTCTTTCAATCTCTCACTCTCACTTCACTCACTTGAAATTTTTTGAATTCTTCATCAAATAAATTTTCCCTCCACCGCGAAACAAATAAATGTTGGAAACCTGGCAAGTGAAATCATTGATTGATGAAAAAAGTGGTGTGCTTTGGAGCTGTCCTTCTTGTGTTGTGTGAAGTCGGTGTTGATGATAACCGTTGTGTGGCGTGTGGTAACACTGATAACTGCTGTGGATCGTGTGTGATGTGTGGTAACACTCTTGGCTGCTGTGGATCGGGTGCGGTGTGTGGTAACACTGATAGCTGCTGTGGATCGTGTATTCGATACTGGTAAAAATAACGGCGGCAAAGTAGATAGACGATGATGGTGATTAAAATGATGATGACGAAGATGGTGGGGATTAAAATGATGATGATGATGATGATGATGATGATGAATGATGACGACGACGCCGCCGAAAGTGACGTCACCAATAGAAAGTGTAGTAAGTGAAGCTCTTATTGAATTAGTTCAATCGACAGTCGTTCAAATTGGAAGGACTCGGTCGCACAAGCATTTAATCATTTCAGTTACTGTTCAGTTACTGTGTGTGTGTGTGGGTGGGTGTGTGTGTGTGTGTGTGTGGGTGGGTGTGTGTGTGTGTCTGTGTGTGTGTGTGTGGGGCTGTTGTGTGCAATTTTGCCAGTTGCCGGTCGTTATAATGAAGATGGGCGAGAAAGACGGCGTAATGGTAATAATGGAAATAGTGAATGTGGGGTGGATGATGTTGGTGACATTGATGGCGATAATAAAAAGTCAGATGATGATGATAAAAATGAGAGAAATGATGATGACGATGATGATGGTGAAGACGATGACGTGGTAATGAAATTGAGTAAATTAAGGGTCATAGCGAAAAAGGAAATAATCAAATTATGATTAAAACAACAAATGATAAGAGGCTGATGATGATAAGTCAAAAAGCTGTTAAATTGAGAACAAGAAAGAAAAAAGAAGCCGTAAGTGACGATGACGATGATGGTAGCTTTTAAACTCCTCTTCATGATGAAAATGATGTTGGAACATTAAAAATTGATCAAAGCAAAATAAAAATTAACACAAAAAAGAATTATGACGATGAAATGGACTTCAAACATAGAAACAAAAGTATCAAGATTTTTAATCTCATCAATGTAGAAAAAAGGATAGGGAAAAAATTTAAGGTAATCTTACAGTTATAACATATAACAGCTACAAGTTGATCAAGCCAGCTCTCCTTCCAAACATTGGAAGATATAGGAGAATAGAGCTCAGTGTCATAATCTTCAGAAGTTTCAAAACTAGCCATAACAACAACTTTTACAAAAATAATATTGAATAATGTTTTTTCCAGCAGTTTTTGTAGAAAGAATGGCTGTAAAGTATAAATTTATTTCACTTGGTTTTGGATTGCGAAAAATATGGAGTGAAACGAAAGCTCTAGCAGAAGATTTTGAGTTGAATTATAAAGAAAGAACCGTACGAGATAATCTTGCTGTAATAAAACAACCGTTCGATTTGTTTTTAAATCTGCCAGTAATGATATCGAGACCCACGTGTAAGTACACATTGCATGGATACACGCAAATGAAGACACACACACCATACACACAACACACGCACACACACATACAGACGCGCGCGCACACACACACACACACACACACACACACACACGAAGCAAAGAATAATGCAAGCGATGATGCAAATAATAATGCGGGAGAAGAGGACGTCAGAAGAGTCACAAACATCGAACAACCATGCCAACCACTGTTAGGACATAAATATTAATTAGCCCAACATTAAATTTTCCTCTTGCATTGTCTGCCTACTCATTCAAACTTCTGCAGTCTCCTTTATTCCTAATTATAATTTAATGCGTGTCCTGATAACAGTTTAAAATTTCGAAAAATATTTTCATAGAAGTATTTTATTTTATATTATTTAAATTTTAAAAAGAATGATTCAGAAAATTATGATCAGTGACAATGTTGGTTAGGCTGCATTGTTAGTTTTTTTGAAATTTTTCACTTAAAACACTCAAAATATTGTCAATCAGGCTTTCAAAAATCGTACATGATATGTAGCGATATAATGTAACGTAAGCCATTCATATCAGAAAAGTTAAGAGAACAGTGGTACAGAGTATAGTTATCTGCCTCTGTCTACCTCACGCTCCTATTTTTGTTAAATCTCATCAATGAAACTGTAAAATTTTTGATGTAACTAAATCCAACGACGTCTGGCAAGAACAAAAAAAAATTAAAACCAAATAAAATGAGCAGAAAATTCTTGAAGGATATCAACGTAGGAGTCATTAAGAACCTGCCATTTTGTTTAAAAATTCGGAGCAATTTGTGAAGCGTTAGAATAAAATGTAGAGAAACTTCAATTATGAAAAAAAGTTTCTTGAAAATTAGAAAAAATTAAAATTTTCCTATTACAGAAAAAATTAAAATTAAACCCATAAGATCTTTATAGATAGATTTCGGGGACGGATTTCAGCAAAAGCGCCGGCTTGGGGCGGCGACTTTCCAACAGCGATGAAGAAAAATTTTTTGCATAACTCTTCTGATGAACATTTGTTCTCTCACCACAAATCAGTTCAAAAAGCGGTCCTTTTTTTATTTGAAACGCGCTGAGAGTTACCAGAAGTAAATGTTACCACAATGCTTGAGAAATTTTAATTTTCTTGCAATACTCTGAATTGAAAAAACCCCCCTTTTTTCCCCAATGAATCACTAAAATAAATAGAATTAGAAAAAAATACAAGAAAATAAATAAAATATTTACATGTATGCATGTATTACGTATATTGTATATAAACATCGTTAGCGCGATCCATTGAAAACGATCCTTTGGTTAACTATATCTTGTATACAACAAAACATGTTATGTCAAGCATGTTATGTTCAAAATTGTTATGTTCAAATATTAAACATAAAAATAATAAGTTAACAAACCCGTTTTTTGCAAAGCCGGTCCAGAGTGCCATAATTTTAGCACTAAGTCTTTTTTCACTTGAAGAGTATTTTGAATGAGGCTTGAAGGCCTCTCCGAAGACAAACATGATTTCATCGCCATGCAGGACCCCCATCCAAGCAGGCCAGGGATTCGTGCTGTAACGCTGAGTAAAATGGTACATGTAGACATTCGCACCACTTGAAGCATAGAACTTGGCAAACTGGTTGATCGGGCAAATGAAATGGTAGTCTGCGATAGCGGCATCTAGCGCCTCCAAATTTAAAGAAGCATTTCCTTCATCAAGCCAGTTTGAGTATTGAAATTGGATGGATTTCAACAACAATGGATGAATTAATTGGCCGTGTGGTGGGTGGAAATGGAATATTTTTTTTATGCTTTCTAAATAGTCCATTCTTGACATTTTTATTGGTGTTTGATTTAGCAGAGCCATCAATTCATACATAAGAAAAAATGTTCCTTCATTTTTGGTGGTCCCAAGTAGAAGTGGACAACGCTTGAACTTCCCTTTTTTGAGCAATTCTTCAGGGTGTTCAGGAAGAAATGACCCGTCAATAACTGGAAGAAATGGTATTCTCAAAAAACCTGTTATTATGAATTGTTTATATGCTAAAACCTGTTCTGGAACGTTCCGCAAACAGTCCGACAAACTTTCAGGATCAGTAGAGCTGCAGTTCATTGTTTTAACTGCAAAGTCGAGAGCCCGACGTTTACCTTCCTTTGATGAAATAACAGCACAGGGTATGTTGGCGGTACCACTTTGAAGGATGGCTCGTTGAAATTTATTCTGACTCAAGGGAGAAAGAAGATGCATACTCACACTAATTGCTCCTGCGCTTTCACCAAACAGAGTGATGTTTTCAGGGTCTCCTCCAAAATATTTAATATTACGTTGGATCCATTCAAGAGCCATCAGTTGATCAAACAAGCCAACATTTCCTGGAGCAGAAGAATGGTTGAACGCTAGAAAACCAAAGACTCCGACTCGATAAGCAATAGACACTACAATTACGGAATTACTTGCTGCCAGTATCTTACCATCGTAAATCCCTAAAGTCGTAGCTCCACTAATAAATCCGCCTCCATGTATCCAGACCATGACTGCTAATTTGTGCAATTTTGATGTTGTTTCTGGAACCCATATATTTAAATATAAACAATCTTCACTTAACGTTGTCGTTGGATTCCACATATTACTACCAGGAAATTCAGGACCAAAAACGTTGTCTGGCAATTGAAAACAAGAATTTGGTAATTTTGTAGCATCGTATACACCTTCCCACCTGTCAACCGGTTGCGGATGTCGAAAGCGTAATTCCTTCACTGGAGGTTTGGCAAAAGGAATGCCAAGGTAGGCGTCTATTGAAGTGTCAGTGTAAGGTTCATGAACGTGGACCCCTCTCACCCTACCACTTTCGGTGTTGACAATTAGATCGTTCTGGGCGTCGACTGTAAAAATTTGGTAGCAGCAGACGACTGCTAAAAAAGTTTGGGCTGGTAACATATTATCCGCAGCTGGTAACAACAGTTTCACGATGTTAATGAAGTAAATATTTTAATTAGCAAAACTTTAAACTGAAAGTGTTTTCACTTCCTAAATTTTTAACAACGAAGTTTTTAAAAAACTTCGTTTTCACTTTTAGAAAAATGACAAAATAAAATGATCGAGTTATTTGGAGAAAAATTTAAACAACGAATGCAGCATAAAAATGTTTTCAATTGAGCTGCAGGCATGATGATCTTTTGATATCATTCTCGTATTATATATAACAGTGTGTTGATGCTATCATTATGGCATGTATAGTTGTGTAAGCATAAGGAGCAAGTTCATCCAAATATTAGATCGAGGTTAAATTGTTTTGCAGCATAAATATATTGGATGTTGTCGCAAGCATAACTTATTCATACCAATCAGTAAGACATTTACAAGGAATACAACAAATTTATTTAGAACAGTTAGAAAAAATATTACTAAAAAAAGGGCATTCAACTATTAAGTTCTCACTTTTACATCAACTTCACATGTTTGTTTGTTTTTTTAGTTCAAGTCTTATCTAATCGATTTATAGTTCAAGTTATATAACAAATTTTTAATATTTATTTTTTACTGAGTCTAACGTAGTAACAAATTCATCCAGCTAACGGTACAAAAAATTTTTTTTCTTGCAGTGCAAGCATAAAAAAATTCTAAAAATTTCCATTAACCAGTAGAGATCTAGTAGTTTAAAATTTATCCTTGACAGGATGGCAACACTCACACTAGCATGGTTGGTTCATGGGTTCAAAGTTCAACCCAAGACAAGATGATGACAATATTGAAAGCAAACTCTACCTAACTGGGAAAATAGTACATTTTATGATAGGTACCTCACATGAAAATCGATCTGCCCAATATTTGTCAGCTGTAGGTGTTTCCTGAATAATTTTTTCATCCATTTAATTATAATCTTCTATCTTGAAAATCTGATCAAAATTTTATTTCGCAAAAATTTTGCAGCAGATTCGGTGTTGTGTTATAATATTTGGGTTTATGATTACTCTCAATCACTAGGAATTATTTTGTGGTTTGCTTGCTATAATATGTAAATCAATAAATAAATCATTTATAAATTGGCAGTTCATGCAACTTTAAGATTTAAAAAACAAATGCGAATGTTCTTTTGATATCGCTAGTAACCAGACTACTCCTATCTGTGCAAACACACTGATGTGCGAGAACATGTTGACGTTCGAACGTGCCTGTGCCCCACTCAAACGACTACAAACTCACACATCCACTCGGACTCCAATCCTACGTTCATTACTTATTCAGTACACAGGACAGACTTCTGTGCTGGCAAATAAAAGAAAAACAAACAATCGGGAATCGTGAACTGTCGTCGGGAGAAAAAAGGAATCATAACAAACTTTGACAATGAAAATGGATTAATCGTTTGAGTCATTTGATGGGAAACAAATTTTGAACACAAATTATAAGTTTTCCATTTTTCGTTTTTATTTACTTTATGTTCATCAACAAACAATAAATACCCGTATTCTTTCGTTTATGAACCTATTGACCAATTTACCACTTAATTAAAATTGTCATGCCAAAAAAATTCTAAAAAATGAAACGCCAAAACGTCTTCTGTGTTAAAGATAACATCAACAATAAGTTAAAATTCTAACAAATTTAATTAACGCCCCAAATGAAGACACACGGTTATATATTTTTGAAGCATGTTAGCATTGGCTTTCATGCTATAAATTGTTTGACTTTGGTTTTATTTCAAAAGCGCTTGAACACACTGTGGCATGAAAATCATGGGAGTGCTTTGATTGGCTTCTTGCTTCGAAGTCCTTTGAGAAGTCGGCTTGAATAATTATCGCCCTGAGAAATTGTGCGAGTGCCTGCTCTATCAATTACGTACACGATCTACATTCTAACTAAAAAAATGCAGTGCTAATTAAATTACGAAATGTAAAAATTCGTGCTACGACTCATGATATTTATTTTTTTGTTTGTTTATTTATTTATTTGTTTGTTTAATAATTTACTTTTTTGTTTATTCATTTGCTTGCATGGTTTTGCATTTACTAGTGATACTTCTATAAAGTACGTACCTTTCTTCGTTTCAGTTTTTTATCGCTTCGTAGACGTTGCTCTTTGAATTTTTTTTAGTTGAATTAAGTGACTAATTAAATAAAAACACTAATACAAATACAAACACCCCCTTATAACATGAAATGATAATATATTTAATTACTCAGCGCACTCTTACTCCCATTCATAACCACTCACAGATTCACTTACTTCTCCAACTTCATTCACCTTTCCATCTTACATTTTATCTGTCAACACGGCTAACGGTGCATTTGCTTCATCAGCGTACACACGCTCGGATGAGCAGAACATATGAGCAACTAATTAAATCTTATATGCATGGTTAAATGCTGGACAATTGAAAACTTCGATTCTTGATCAGAGAAACTACATTTAAGTCTCTGGTTATCTATTGCCAGATCTTTCAAAAGACAGATTACTGAACACTTTTTGGTGAAAAGATTATTTTGTTATTGAATGAGTGACATCAAAAATATTATCCAATGTCTATTTGCAGTCATTCAAAATCAAATCGATCATCAATGTTTATAAAAAATTTAAAAAATTATCATCTGCCGGTTTGTATGATCTGCTAATTTGTTTTTGCACACTTAAACATAACATTTTTGTCAAATAAAAAATGAATACGGAAGATTATTAAATTTAAGGAAATTTGTGTGAAATAAATTTTTCACTGAAATGTATTTTTTACATAATTTTTTATTTGTTTTAATTTCTGACAATAATGGTTTGGTAACATGCCATCTAGGTATGTGCTCAACTGTTTTTTAAAAATTCAATTCGAAATTTTTTTTCGAACCTTACAAAATTTGAAATAAAACAAAATTTTGGCAAAACAAACGTGACTAACCCTGTTTTGGCAAAGTTAACCCAATATTCCGTCATGATTCGACTAAGCTTTTTATCGTCTTCGCTGTAATTTGCGAGCGATTTCAACGCTTCTCCAAAGACAAACATGATTTCATCGCCATGCAAGACTCCCATCCAAGCAGGCCAGGGATTCGTGCTGTACCGCTGTGTGAAGTAGTACATGTAGACGTTCTCTCCAAGTGAAGCATAAAGTTGAGCGAACTGGTTGACTGGACAGATGAAGTGATATTCGGAAACTGCGGCATCTAATGCTTGAGTGTTCAGAACGTAGTTGTCTTCATCAAGCCAGTTTGCATATTGGAATTGGATTGATTCCATGACAAATGGATAGGTTACTCTATTAGGATGCGGGTGGGTAAAAAATAATCTGTTCATGCTCTCCAAATAATCTGTCTTAGTCATTTTGATTGAGGTTAGATTCAGCCAATCGGTTAATTCATAAATGAGAAAAAAAGTTGCTTCGTTTTTGTTGCTACCAAGTAGAATTGGGCAATGTTTGAAATTTCCCTTTTTGAGTATTTCCTTGGGATGTTCAGGAAGGAAAGATCCATCGATGACCGGGATGAATGGGAATTGCATGATACCTCGAGTTATGTACTGATGCTCCGCCAGAATATAATCTGGAACTTCACGTAAGCAATCGACTAAAACTTCTATATCAGTGTAGTTACAGCTCATAGTTGCAATAGCAAAATCAATGCCTCGACGTTTAGCTTGTTCCATAGTTGTGAACGCCCAGGGCATGTTGGCAACTCCGCTTTGCAGGATGGCTCGTTGAAATTTACTGTGACTCAATGGAGAAAGAAGATGCATGCTTATGCTTACTGCACCAGCGCTTTCACCAAACAGAGTGATGTTTTCAGGGTCTCCTCCGAAATATTTGATATTACGTTGGATCCATTCAAGAGCCATCAACTGATCAAACAAACCAGCATTTCCTGGAGCAGAAGGGTGATTTAGAGTCAAAAAACCAAAAGCACCAACACGATATGCCACGGAAACTACAATTATAGAACTGTTTGCTGCCAGTATCTTTCCATCGTATACATTCAAAGTTGTGGTTCCACTGTAAAATCCACCTCCGTATATCCAGACCATGACTGCCGATTTGCGCAATTTTGGTGTTGTTTTTGGAACCCATATGTTTAAATATAAACAATCTTCACTCAGTTTTGTTGTTGGATTCCAAGCACTGGAGCCTGGAAAATCTGCCCCGAAGACTGTGTCCGGCATTTGGAAACAAGAATTTGGTAACCTGGTGGCATTGTAAACTCCTTCCCACTTGCCGTACGGTTGTGGATGTCGAAAGCGTAACTTTTTCACTGGAGGTTTGGCGAATGGAATGCCAAGGTAGGCATCTATTGGACTGATAACGCTTGGTATGTGGAATCTGTGCCCTCGCACCAAACCACTTTCCGTGTTGACGATGAGATCGCCGTGTGAACGAATTTTATGTAGTTGGTGACATCCAATGGCTGAGAAAACTATTAAAACTATTACCAATTCAATTTTGAAATATCCAATTTGAAGTGCAACTTTAAGGTTATTTAAAAACTTCATTTTCCAATTCAACGGCAACAAATTATGAACAATAATTGACTCATTAAAACGTTGAATAACAACGATTTAACGATTTTTTATTCAAGCAATCTGTATTTTTTTTCGCTTTTATTTTTTGCAGTCTGCCATACATTACCATTAGCTGATTTTATTAAATTCTTATAAAACTAAACTCTAAAAATATTAAATATACTGTAGGTATGATAAAAGTAGAAAAAATAAAATAACATCTTTTAACTTTACGACGGCAACAATTTGTAGCGAAAAATTTATTATCAATAACGAGCAAAATTTTGAATTTTTCAATCCGCGTTCATCAGAGCAAGAGGTTTAGGCTCTTATTCAGGCAACAAACAGTGGAGCGCTGCTGACGAACGAGCGTCTACTTCTTATATTGCCCTCACTCGACATGCATCTCTGCTTACATGGGTCTGTTTGCGCGTTTTGTTTTAATGTTCCTTCACCTTTCGCAGACGTTTGTGATGAGTTGTCATATAATTAATTTTTATATACAAACGATTTTCAAATTTTCATTTTAAAATTTTTTTTTGACATACAATGATTAATTAATCTTTGTTATATTTGCATGCAATTATTATTTTTAATTCAATTTACCAGCCAACACAACTTTCTAATATTTTCAATTGTTACTAAATTGTTTTTTCCATAAGAGACTGTATTAAAACCACTGTTGCAAAATTTCTACAAACCATTGGCAAACGTTTACGGTGCCAACTCGATTGTTAAAAATGAACCGGAGTGAAGTTTATGATCTCTTCAGCGGTTATTACATCGTAATGCTTTACCAATAACTTATAATCCTGAATATTTACAATAAGATAGTAATTATGCCTATTCAAAATGTGCTAAATACTAAATTAAAAACTATCAGACAGTCAAGGCAGTCCATGGTGTAAAAAGAAGCAGACGAGAAATTGTGGAATGGTGGATAAATTGGATAAGAGTTCAACGTTGGTTAGCCTGCATACGTAAGAAAGTAGATGTACGTATAATGTGCCGTTGTGGCGAATAGTCGGATGAACTGAAACGTAAAAGAACGAGAATTGAATCAAACAAGCCGACAATGCCAACCGACAGTCGGTACATTAGGTGCATCGTTTGTCACATTTATTCTTTATCGACACGATATATCTTTCTCGATAGTTCTCTTTTTATCCGCCAGCGTGCTTGTATGTCCAAGTGACACAATTGGATGAATAAAATTGAAACTAAAGTAAGTTAGACATATGTGGGAACTAAATTTTGATACACGTTACATGTAAAACCTATTTATAAGGGAGAAAAACCTATTGGAATTTTCTTGCGAGTGTGGTGAGTTAACATGCGGAGTAATATATTTTGCACTGTGTTTCTTCAATCAGCGCTCGTTCGCCTTTCTGCGATATGTTCTTTCTCTCTCTCTCTCTCTCTCTCTCTCTCCCTCTCTCCCTCTCTCTTTTTCTTTTCTCCTATTTTTCTATTTCTGATAACATATTCGGTATACACAACATAAGGCTTCTAATTTATTTTCAGTGATATAAAAACCTTCCTTCCAAAACTTTTTTAATTAAAATTTTTACTTCTATGTTATCTAAAAATAATTCAGCTTAGATATTTTACAGGAATCAATAACCTTACTAGTTCAGAAAACCCAATTCTATACTTTTGAACCAGATTTAAAAGTCAAACTGCATTTTCTTCTTTCTCGTGCCTTATCCTCTCAAGACATTGGCGACCATCGACCTCCACAAAACCCGACCTTTAACTCTTTGTAGTAGATGAAATGTGATAATATTCAGCAAGTGATATAAGGACTTCACGAATGTTATTCTTGTTGCATACTGCATATGTACTTCAAAATGTTTCTAACAGAGCAAAATTCGACAAATAGCGTTGGATAATTTGTGATTGGTTTGATTTTGATGCTCTTATGCATTTATAATTTTAGATGTCATTCATTCGCGTGTTGCCAAAACATCGGTGAAGAAAATAGTTTTGTATTATTGTTTCATTCGTGTTTCAAATTTTCAATCCGTTTCTAGTTGAAAACTCTCTAATGATATTTCAACCAATAACTTTTCACAGTTTTAAATATTATAATTTTGCTGAATAGTCTGAAATTTAACTAATTGATTGAGTAGTGAAGACGGTGTAATTGTTAGGACGGCTGGTCCTTCTGTTGCACTGGTTGGATTTGAATGCAAAGAGATCCTCGCGTGTCACCTATAATGTGTGCGTGATGCGTAGTTTAAAAAATAAATTGAGAAAAAAATTTGTATTCAATCAATTTGATGTTTTAGCATTTTGAAAAATTTACTGAATGAAATATGTACAGATAAAACGAAAAACACCATCGCATTTAATTTCAATTTAATTCAGTCCACTTTGGAATGGTGGTGACGGTGATGGTGACATTTTTTGAGGGAAAAACTGGAAAGAAATTAGTTAGCTAATGGCTCCCAGAAGATCTTCATACGTTGAAACCTCATGAATCAAATTTTTTAACATTTCCTGACTTATCTGAATGCTAAATGATGCAAAAAAAGTAAATCACTCTTTGTTGGAGAATGAAAAATTAAAACAAATTCTTAGAAATTAAGTAAATTTTGATTATGACGCTTCACTAGGTAATATATATTTTTTAAAATCTTTTCTCACATTTAAAATAATAAAATTTTTCATTGTCATTAAAAGCTTGAAAAAAATTTTAAACTTGAGTAAATAAAAATAAAATGAAGAAAAAAACACAGGTAAAAGAAAGATATTTGATTGCACGCTCCATTATATTTTTTTCCTTCCTACATATGCCTGTGTGTACAACATTCAGACATGAGGAGAGGACATGCGTCACCACACACACACACACACACACACACACACACACACACACACACACACACACACACACACACACACACACAACACACACGCACACACAACACACACATTCACACACGAATGTACAAACTACCTAGAGGTACGATGAAATACGTTGTGATGACTATATTACTCAATGGTACTTCTACATGCTCCTTTCAAATGAAATTATTAAAATGTTAATGCTTAGAAAACCTCATGTCAAAATTTTTATGAATCTTAATGTAGAAGCAACCGCTGAAATTTGAAACACAAATTTCAAACGAAAATCAAAACTTATTTCACGATCGAAACATAAAATTTGTAATTTGTAAGAAATTTTTTCGAAATTTTAAAAATTTTTCACAAAAAAATGAAGCAAAAATGATCTCGTTAAATTTTTACGTTTAAGATTTTGAATATTTACATTGAATCTCATTCACAATCCATTTCACAACGTGATACTTTAAAAAACCAAATTTCATAAAGAACACTTGTTCATCGCAGCGGCGGAATCAAATATGAATTCGAAATAAAAAATTAAAACTTAAATTAGGAAAATAATTTACTGAGAATAAAAATTAATTGAAATATAAAATTTTATTCGGTTGTTGTTGGATAATAGAAGCACTCACAAGTTTCATGCAATCAGGAAAAAATTCATAATCTCAATCAATTAGAGTGTGTCAGATGCATGGAGATGTCTGCAGCAGACCTAATTGCCTCAGCAACTTTTCCATAATTATATTTTTGCTGCTTGTAAACTGAAAAAAGTTTTTTTTGAAATAATGAAGAATAAAAGAAAAGTTGTAATTATTATCATCAATTGTTGATACCGAAGTTAAAAAATTTAAATGAATCTATGTCATGAATCTAAAACATATAGATGTTATAGATGCTATGTAGATGTTATAATAAAACTTTAAAGAAATGTGGAAACAACAAAATGTATGGAAGCCAATTTGATATTTTTTCATTTGCTTTTTGCAGGCACTTGACAACCTCGGTACTTTGCACGTACACATATACAAAAGTACTCACACGTTCACACAGGTACACATACATTTACACATATAAACATACATACACGCACGCACATCTATCTGAGAGTACGAAAAAAACTCACATAAATACACATTTTCACGTACATTCACACGTTCACAAACAGACGTACAGGTAGGTACGTAGGTACTGAGCAATGACAATAATAACAGACGGTCTTCAGTCGATCAAATTTTAAATCTCACTAGCTCTCTTCTGATTTCTACTTCACGTGCGCAAATATTTACGCGTAGGTGTGCGCGCGTGTGTCAGCGTTTCTGTTACAATGTGAAACCGACTGGACTTAATAAAAATGTCCCCAGAAACAACTTTTCCATAATTATATTTATCCGATCTAACTTCTCTAAAATGCTCCTCTTTTCTCATAGTGGAATTTTTTCGTTAAAATTTTTAACATTAATATCATTAAGTTTAGTCGTTAATATCATTAAAATTTATTTGTATCCCGAATCTCGACCTCGCCCGATTTGTCCCATCCTAATACTTCCTTTTGAACTCTTATCATTAACTTTCATGAGTACTATTTATTCTTAATCTGCTTTAATGAATTGTTACATAACTTCGATCAACATGTTCATTTAATGTTCGTCCGTTTATATATTCTTAATTGAATTTATTTATTTATACGAGCGTTGTGAATGTTCTATCAATAAATTTGCTCAATTTAATTCTTACTTTCCACGTGTGTGGTTGATGTTGAAGCGGTGGCCTTTACAAGTGTTTTTTCATATTTGGTCTCCGAAATTCATATAATTGCTCTTTTCTTTACTTGTACTAGTTTGCAATCTTTTGGCAGTGAATGAAATTTTGAATTTGTATAAATGTGTGTTTGTGTGTGTGTGTGCCCACCTTGCTTATCTGAGCGACGAACGTCGTGTTTGACCTACGTTTAAAATGCGTTTACGTGGTACCTTTGTCGTTTGGTGACCTTTTTTAAATTACTCATTTCGAATAACATGGAAGTATCTGCGGTATATATTTCATTTATTTTTCGCATCTTATCTGCTAAAAATTTCTAAAATATAAATACTTAAACAACAAATTTAAATACTTAAAATACTTGTCTATCGCGTCAATAAGAA